AAAAAAAAAAAAAAAAAAAAACAAGTCTCAGGCCTGGTGCAGAGGTACTTGTACCTGCACTGCTGGATAAGGCCTGGCTTTTGCCTGCTGGCCAGGCCCGTCAGTTCTACCCAGCCTTCTGTGACCTCATTCTCTACCCTGGTTCCACTTTCCACTTTGTGACTTCATCAGTTAAAGATCCCATTTCAGCCACCAAGGTTGAGAGGCCCCAACCTCTGTAAAGAGCCCAATTCCTCTACAGAATCAACCCTGGGGAGGCTTTAGGGCTGTGCTCCTTGCAGGTCATCCTGGATCCACAGTGGTGCACCGGTCTGTGCTGACGTCTTCAGATACCAGTCGATGGGCATTTGGCTCCTTGCTTCCACTGACCTCTTGAGTACTTTCAAAGATCGGAGTCAAGGGCACCCCTGCTGCTGTTTCTAGAGCATCTCTGCAACCTACGGTGGCCTCTCCTCTCTCTGCGGGCAATGGACAGCACAGTCCCTTCAGCCCTGGAGCTGCCCCAGCAGCTGGCACCAAACCTGAGGGAGAAACCGCGGAGTCTGGAAGAGGAGGAGCCGAACCTGCTGAGCAGCTTGGCTGCAGTCCAGACCCTGGCCAGTGTCATCCGGCCTTGCTATGGCCCTCACGGCCGGCAGAAGCTCCTAGTGACCATGAAAGGAGAAACGGTGTGCACAGGGTGTGCCGCTGCCATCCTCAGGGCACTGGAGCTGGAGCACCCCGCTGCGTGGCTCCTCCGGGAAGCAGCCCAAACCCAGGCAGAGAACAGTGGGGATGGCACAGCCTTTGTGGTTCTGCTGACGGAAGCGCTGCTGGAACAGGCAGAGCACCTGCTGAAGGCCGGCCTGCCTCGCCCACAGCTCCAGGAGGCCTACGCCACAGCCACTGCAGAGGTCCTGACCATGCTGCCCTCCCTGGCCATCCAGTCTCTGGGGCCTTTGGAAGATCCATCCTGGGCCCTCCGTTCTGTGATGAATACCCACACCCTGTCCGCCACGGACTACTTGACCAAGCTGGTGGCCCATGCCTGCTGCGCTACCAAGGAGCTAGACGGCAGCTTCAAGCCTGAGCGTGTTGGAGTGTGCACGCTGCATGGGGGTACACTGGAGGATTCCTGCCTCCTCCCGGGGTTAGCAATCTCTGGGAAGCTCTGTGGGCAAATGGCCGCAGTGTTGAGTGGTGCCAGGGTGGCTCTCTTTGCTTGCCCCTTTGGTCCTCCCTGTCCAAATGCACCAGCAACGGCCCGTCTCTCTAGTCCTGCTGATCTAGTTCAGTTTAGTAAAGGAAACGACCAATTACTAGGAAAGCTAGTAGGCCAGCTGGCAGCCGCGGAAATTAATGTGGCAGTGGTGTGGGGAGAAGTTGATGAGGAGACCCTCGCACTGGCGGACAAGTATGGTATCATGGTGATTCAAGCTAGGTCTCGGATGGAGATCGTGTACCTGAGTGAGGTGTTGGACACACCTCTGCTGCCTCATCTGCTCCCTCCCCAGAAGCCAGGCAAGTGCCAGAGGGTTTACAGGCAGGAGATGGGAGATGGTTTGGCTGTGGTATTTGAGTGGGAATGTACAGGCACACCTGCCCTCACCGTGGTCCTCAGGGGAGCCACCACGCAGGGGCTGCGGAGCTCAGAGCAGGCCGTCTACCACGGCATTGATGCCTATTTCCAGCTATGTCAAGATCCCAGACTGGTTCCAGGAGCTGGGGCCACAGAAATGGCTTTGGCAAAAATGCTCTCTGATAAAGGAAGCAGATTGGAAGGGCCCAGTGGGCCTGCATTCCTAGCATTTGCCCGGGCCCTGAAGTGTCTTCCTAAAACCTTGGCAGAGAATGCAGGCTTAGCTGTCTCAGATGTGGTGGCAGAAATGAGCGGAGTGCACCAACGTGGGAACCTTCTAATGGGTGTGGGAGCGGAAGGAATAATAAATGTGGCCCAGGAAGGGGTGTGGGACACCCTAATGGCCAAAGCCCAAGGATTTCGAGCGGTGGCTGAGGTGGTGCTGCAGCTCGTGACTGTAGATGAAATTGTTGTGGCCAAGAAAAGTCCCACACATCCGCAGATCTTCAATCCTGACTCTAAGAAGGCAAAGAAACACCCACCTCCTGTGGAAAAAAAAAATCCTTGGAATGAATAAGTAGTGACACCCTCCATAAAACAGGGATTGCCAAGAAGGGAACAATCACCCCAAAACTGAATGTTTGCCTTTATTCCATGTTTGGTACTTGATTCAGTTTCTTTAAATAAAAACAACATGAAGGAACATAAAAGTTCTTTTCACAGAGTTAGTTCCTTTCCAGTTCTCAACTTTTTCATTTCCTGTTTCTCTCCATCAGATTCTGTTCCTTTCCTATGATAAGAGCAGGATTCAATTCTATTAAGATTTTTAAACTGAGTACCTATCTGGTCTTCAGGCATGCAAAAAACAGTGCAGCAATCTCTTCTCTACTATTTGAGCTTTTCCTGCATGATATTCTGATATATATGGACTTATGTCTAAATGTCACTTAAGGAGTCTGAAAACATTGGTTGCAGCTTATAAGAGTGGCCAGTCATTCCTGTTGTGGTTATTTGAAAAAAAAAAAAAAAAGGGACTATGGCCCAGTACAATGGCTCATGCCTGTTATCCCAGTTCTTTGGGAGGCCGAGGTGGGAGGATTACCTGAGGTTGGGGGCTCAAGACCAGCCTGACCAACATGGAGAAATTCTGTCTCTACTAAAAATACAAAAGTTAGCAGGGCATGGTGGTGCATGCCTGTAATCCCAGCTACTTCCTTGATACACTGCACTCCAGGCTGCGAAACAAGAGCTAAACTCTGTCTTAAAAAAAGAAGGGGCTATCTTTTTTTTTTTTTTGGAGATGGGGTCTCACTCTGTCACCAGGCTGGAGTGCAGTGGCACGATCTTGGCTCACTGCAACCTCCGCCTACTGGGTTCAAGTGATTCTCCTGCCTTAGCCTACTATGTAGGACTACAGGCACGTGCCACCATGCTCAGCTAATTTTTGTATTTTTTAGTAGAGATGGGGTTTCACCATGTTGACTAGGATGGTCTTGATCTTTTGACTTCGTGATCCACCCACCTCAGCCTCCCAAAGTGCTGGGATTACAGGTGTGAGCCACTGTGCCTGGCCAGGGCTATCATCTTAAAGCACGAGAGAGAGAGAGAGAGAGAGAGAGAGAGAGAGAGAGAGAGAAAGAGAGAGAGAAGGCAAGAAAAGGAGCTGGTGTGGCGGCAGTCAGAAATTTAACTTAAAAAAAAAGTCTTCACCTCGCACAGTGGCTCATGTCTATAATTCCTGTATTTTGGGAGGCTGAGACAGGAAGATCGCTTCTGTCCAGGTGTTCAAGACCAGCCTGGACAACATAGTGAGACCTTGTCTCTACAAAAAATAAAAATAAAAATAAATTAGCCAGGCTTGGTGATAGGTACTTGTAGTCCCAGCTGCTCAGGAGGCTGAGGTGGGTGGATCCCTTGAGCCCAGGAGGTCGAGGTTGCAGTGAGCTGTGATTGCGCCACTGTACTCCAGCCCAAGCAACAGAGCAAGACCCTGTCTCAACAGAACAAAACAAAACAAAACAAAAGCCAGCAAACATCCTTAACATAGATAACAGAAGATTAGAACACATACCTTAGGGCTGTGCTAAGGTTGTTGTGTAGGGACGGAGAAGCTGAGGGTAGGGGGCAGGGCTAGGACTGGACAACCTTGGGCATTAAAGAAGGGGATTGAGCAGAGCTGAGTGGGTTCAGCACCTAATAGCCAAAGCCTTTTCCACTTTAACCATCCAAGTTACTACAGAAAAAGATCAGAACCTAGGCCTAGCGCAGTGGCTCACGCCTATAACTCCAGAACTTTGGGAGGTGGGCGGATCACGAGGTCAGGAGATCCAGACCATCCTGGCCAACATGGTTTAACCTGGTCTCTACCAAAAATGCAAAAATTAGCTGGGCATGGTGGTGTGCGCCTGTAATCCCAGCTACTCAGGAGGCTGAGGCAGGAGAATCACTTGAACACAGTAGGCAGAGCTCGTATTGAGCTGAGATCCCACCACTGCACTCCAGCCTGGGTGACAGAGCAGGACTCCGTCTCAAAAAAAAAAAAAAAAAAAAAGAAGAAACCATTACCTTATAGCATGTATATCCGTTGCAACACAGCAAAAAAAATTTTTTTTACTTAATTATTTTTTGAGACAGAGGCTTGCTCTGCTGCCCAGGTGCAGTGACTTGTGTCGCCCAGGCTGGAGTACAGTGGTGTGATCTCAGCTCACTGCAACCTCCACCTCCCGGGCCCAAGTGATTCTCCTGCCATAGCCTCCTGAATAGTTGGGACTACAGGTGCCCACCACCAGACCCGGCTAATTTTTGTATTTTCAGTAGAGATGGGGTTTCGCCATGTTGGCCAGGCTAGTCTCAAACTCTGGACCTCAGGTGATCTACCCACCTCGGCCTCCAAAAGTGCTGGGATTTACAGTACTGGGATTTACAGTACTGGGATTTACAGTACTGGGATTTACAGGCGTGAGCTGCTATGTCCCAGCCCAATTTGCTACGCCTTCGTTATGCCTAGAATCTAAGTATCCTCTTTAATGTCATCTTTAAATGTCCTTTTTTTTTTTCTGGAGACAGTCTTGTTCTGTCAGCCAGGCTGGAGTACAATGACACAATCTTGGCTCACTGCAACCTCTACCTCCCAGGTTCAAGTGATTCACCTGCCTCAGCCTCCCGAATAGCTGGGACTACTGGCACCCATCACCATGCCCGGCTTTTTTTTTTTTTTTTTTGAATTTTTAATAGAGATGGGGTTTCACCATGTTGACCAGGCTGGTCTTGAACCCCTGACCTAAAATGATTCACCCACCTTGGCCTCCCAAAGTGTTGGAATTACAGACGTGAGCCACTGCACTCAGCCTAAGTGTTCTCTTCAGTTGTTAAAACATGTGACTCAAACATCAAGTTGCTTTTTTTTTCTCCTACTGACTACGGAGAAGTTGATCAGAATTTGACCTCAATTTGGTCAAATCCAGATTCTTCTGAGGTTATAGGGTCAAGGTCTCCTAGCATGCTAGGTCTCAGTCTCCAAAGGCTTTGGCTTTGGGGTTGGCTACATATTTCTCTTCCAAGATGAGCTGCTTGCTTCAATTCCAAAAGCAGTTGAATTTCAGAAATGACAATTCCTGGAGCACATTTCCTATAAGAACTTGTAGCTGGTGGACTCATCCCAGATCCCACCCAGCTTTGTGATGCTGCTTTACTGTGCTCCACGTGGATCTAGCAAGCAGAGAGCAACAGTCACAACCCGGAGAAAACAGGGGAAGAAAATGAGAACTGAGTCCTGGGAAGGGAAGGAGACGAGAGTCTGACTTGAAAAGTGGAGGCTGAGACTGAGTGGGAACAGCTCATGCACTTAGGCTGTATGTAGGCCAGTCATGGTGGCTCACGCCTGCAATCCCAGCACTTTGGGAGGCCAAGGCAGGCGGATCGCTTGAAGTCAGGAGTTCCAAGATGAGCCTGGACAACACAGTGATAATCCTTTTCTACAAAAAAATTTAAAAATTAGCCGAGTGTGGTGGCATGCACCTGCAGTCCCACCTACTCGGGAGGCTGAGGCGAGAGAATTGCTTGAAACCGGAAAGCGAAGACTGCAGTGAGCCGAGATCATGCCACTGCACTCCAGCTTGGGCAACAGAGCAAGACTCTCAAAATCACCATCATAATAAATTAAAAAATAAAAATTAAGCATGTTGGTGCACACCTGTAGTCCCAGCTACTTGGGGGGCTAAGGTGGGGCGCTCTCTTGAGCCCAGGAAGTAGAGGCTGCAGTGAGCGGTGATTGGGCCACCGCACTCCAATCTGGGTGACAGACTGTGAGACCCTTTCTCAAGGAAAAAAAAAAAAGACTTCAATCTACAAAAACACTGGAGTTCTGATGAAGAGAAAAAGGTATTGATTCCAAACTTTAAAAAGAACTGTGAAGAGAAGATTGAAAACCAAACAGAAAAGAGTTGTCCTAGTTTGCCAATCCTTTCTCTGCATGGGCCAGCCTCTTCTCATGTAAACTGAGTTGTTTCTCTTCTTTATTTTTGTTTGTTTGTTTTTTGTTTTTTTAAAGATGGGGTTTCACCATGTTGGTCAGGCTGGTCTTGAACTCCCGAACCCAGGTGATCCACCCGCCTTGGCCTCCCAAAGTGCTGAGATTACAGTGAGCCACTGCGCCCGGCCTCAACAGTCTTTACTGAACTCTGCCTTCCAGGCCTACAAACCTGAAGGCTATGTAGTGCAGAGGCCAAGAGAGAGAGAAAGCTAAGATTCAGTAGAGGAGCAAAAACCGAAAACATCAACACCCGGGCATCTAAATGGGAGGGAAGGAGAATATCAAGACTTGAGGTCCCAACCATTTGATCTGTAAATAAGCAAAACAAATTTGAAAAGACCAGCTTGTGCTGTGTTTGCACCAAGATGCTGCATCAGCCGTAGACCAGAGGCTAATCGTGGGGTAATGAGAGAAGGAGGTGAAGGAGGAGATCACAAATGGACTTGGTTAAGGTTGGCCAGACCACTCCCATTTCTACCTGAACCTTGCTGGAATAGCAGCTCTGGATGATGCGAGCCATGGATGTGAGGGACAACACTTAAGTATTAACTGATATTAACTGATGGGCTACTTCCCATGTGATTTGTTGCAAATTTTCCCTTGTACTTAGTTGAAAGGGTGCCACTGCCAAAAGGGACGCTGTCCCTGTTGCACTAAAATGTCAAACCTCCAGTAGAGAGGTATGACAGATATTCCTAAAGTAGCTGAGTCACCTTTTTCCCTGAAACATCAAGTGTCCCCCTGGCCCCTGCCGCAGGCTAAAGATCCTCTTTCTTAACTGGGGAGGAAGAAGAAGGAGGTTAGGGTAAGCATGAGGGAGTTGGTGGTAGAGTCTCTGAGAGGGAGTCTACTCACCTCCCCCTGGGTTCCAAGGAGTAAGTTGGGGGAAAGGACAATAGAATCCCCAGCAAACTTTGGGGGCTCTGAGAACAGAGGAGATTCTCTGCTTCCAATCTGGAACCCTGGGGCCCCGAGGAGTTCCGTGTGCCGACAGGACAGCAGAGTGGTAGAGCAGGAATGGCTGTGGCCTCGGGCGGAGATGGGCCCCAGGCAGTTGATGGGATGCTCTGCCTTGCTGAGCAGCCTCAGAGAGCCGCCAGGCCCCCATGTCCCAGCAATGGGTGTCAGGTATTTGCAGACATAGCCCCTGAACCTTAGGGCATTTCAAGATCATGAGAAGAGGTAGGATTATAAACTTTAGCTGAGGCTTGAGAAAGGCAGAAAAGGACCTCAGACCACAGGACACCAAGATGCTGTAT